TAGGCAGATGGTGATCATATATGCTCTCACATTTACTATGTGTGGAGACTATGGAGACCATACTATGCCATATGTCAGTTCTTACTCTTCCTTGCATAGCATAATCAATTTAGCAGCTCTGAGATTATCATAATAAAATCCCTATCTGCCATCTCTTTTCAGATGTAGAGAAGACCTTTGACAGGATTTATTGGCTCTTTTTTGAACCAACCTGGAAGCATATAGGCCTAGGAAGTAACCGATGTGTAGGTGGATAGATGCAATCTACTCAAATCTAATCAAACGCCATCAGCAGCAATCAGACCTAACAAATGAATATCCAAATACTTTTCTTTAATGGTACCAGACAAAGATGCCCACTGTCACCATTAATTTTTATACTTACGCTGGAACCCGTTTCAGACGTCTTAGACAAAACCCAAACATATCAGGTATACACAATAACTTGGCATAAGGTAGCATCCTATGCGGCAGATCTATTATTCTTCAAAACTACACTGTATATAACACTTTTTGCTGGCTGAAATGAATACATATAGTCAAAGCTCCAACTTTAAAATCAATCTACAAAGATCTAAGCCCTTAATACAGTATTTCCATCCTTAAACTGATGCTTGATGACCTCAAAACCAATTTAGCTTTCAAGTGGGCAAACAAATCACATATCTTGACGCTACATTGTCCCCAAAACCAGTAAATTACTTGAGGCAAATTTCCCACCTCTTGTATAGGTCATACAACTAGACTTTCAAAGATGGACCACAGACTTTTATAATTGGTTTGTCTGAAAAGCCATCCTTAAGAATCTAGATATAAAATTATACCTGGATGATGCAAGGTTCCATCTATTTTGCATAAATTATATCGACAGACTTCCAAGCCTTTCTGGAGCTGTAAGGACCATGAGGGCAAAATTCTGCATTGATTCTAGGAGTTCCAAAGGTTGAGAAACTTCTGGGACCAAGTACTTAACCCAGGGCCGTCTTTAAGGCAGGGCAAAAGGGGCAGCTGCCCCGGGCCCAGTCATTGCTGTGGGGCCCTGTACCCCATAAACTAGTGCTAATGCTTCATCTGCACTGGCAGAGAGGCAGAGCCAGCTATCAATCAGGTAGAGGGGTGGAGCCTGACAATATTGTCGCAATCTTTCCGAGCTGCATTGTGCTCGGAAAGAGTCCACTGCAGCTGTCACTGCAAGCTGTCAGCATATAGCAGGCAATATTGCATCATGGGGCAAAATTGCATGGCGGGTGTGGGGTGTGGCAGGGGGCCCAAGAAAATGTTTGCCCATGGTCCAATCAATATTAAAGACGGCCCTGACTTAACCTCACGTAAATTGATTCATGATAATTTGGGAGATGACCCTGCTGCATAACTCCTTCACTCAAGTCACCTTCCCAGAAACAGATATGAATGATCAGAATACTTCACACTGTCTAATTAAAAAAGTGTAAATAGTGTCCATAGGTAGCACTGTGGGAGCTGAATCATTAGTTAGCAGAATGTATCAATTCACTAGCAGTTTTTCTCTCTGTGAGATGAGCCACTCTGTTTCATGCCACACTGATGTCACAAGTCTCTAGAGAATTGATGGGCTACGTAAATGGTAATATCGATTTAAAGGTACATTCCCATTAGGGCTGAAAATTAAACCTTGAGATACCTACACGGTGTATAGCTGCTCAGCAGGTACATTTTCCATCCACGCATAGTTGTACTTCACCAGTCCAGCTTCTTGTTGGTTACGTGACGATCCTGCTTGTGGTGCCGGATCGAAACAAATATTCCCATCACACACCATACTGGAATCAACCATCATATGGTCTCTGTAACGATCAATAAGTATTGCAACATCAGTAAGATATCTTGCCAGCACACAAGAGTTCTTGCAAAATATTCACTTTTATTGCATTATAACATTCACACAGAAATGCATTGTTTCGGAGACATGCAGGACATCTTGGCATGCGTGACACCTAAAAGAGTCCTACATAGTTCTGAAACACTGCATTTGCTAAATAGTTAGTGTAATACTTAATTACAGTTCAGAAGTCAATGTATCCAAAAACATGCGACAGAAAAAAAAATTATTGTACCTTTTCGAACTGAAAGTGGCTGAGCATGTGAACAGCGACAATAGAAAAGAATGAAATTCTGATGTTGAGGGTTGTCGTGCATAGGGAAATATGCAAAAATAGGGTGAATGTGGGCTGAGTAAGTATAATGGAGGTATGCACAGGACTTGTATTCAAAACTGAGCAGAGGGCTTTTCTGGCAATTTAAGAGTTTTTCAGGTTATGTGTAAGTGTTTTTACACGTGCATCAAGCTTCAAGTATTTTTGTTTTGGCCAATGGAAAGCGGATCTAGAGGAGGAGAGCAGTTCTCCAGATGGATTTACAGGTGTTTCCTTTGGGGCCAAAAAAGTGTGACATGGATCCAAAAAAAGCTCATGTATCTTTGTGAGTGTAGAGATGCGAACAACCACAATAGAAAAGAATGGGGTTCTGATGTTGAGGGTTGTCGTGCATAGGGAAATGCGCAAAAAACACACAACAAAATGCTCAGGGGTGAATGGGGGCTACGTGAGTAACGAAAATGAAGGTAACACTCAGGGGTGAATGGGGTGGAGTGAGTAGTGAAAATGGAGGTAATGCTCAGGGGTGAATGGGGGTTGAATGAGTAATGAGAATGGAGGTAACGCTCAGTGATGAATGGGGGTTGAGTGAGTAATGAAAATGGAGGTAACGCTCAGGGGTGAATGGGGGTTAAGTGAGTAGTGAAAATGGAGGTAACACTCAGGGGTGAATGGGGGAGGAGTGAGTAATGAAAATGGAGGTAATGCTCAGGGGTGAATGGGGGTTGAGTGAGTAATGAAAATGGAGGTGATGCTCAGGGGGGAATGTGAGTTCAGTAATGAAAATGGAGGTAATGCTCAGGGGGGGAATGTGAGTTGAGTAATGAAAATGAAGGTAATGCTCAGGGGTGAATGAGGGCTGAGTAAGGAAAATAGAGGTAATGCTCGGGTGAATGGGGGCTGAGTAATGAAAATTGAGGTGATGCTCAGGGGTGGATGAGAGCTGAGTAATGTAAATGGAGGTACTGCTCAAGGGTGAATGGGAGTTGAGTAATGAAAATGGAGGTGATGCTCAGGGGTGAATGGGGGTTGAGTAATGAAAATGCAGGTGATGCTCAGGGTTGAATGAGGGCTGAGTAATGAAAATGGAGGTAATGCTCAGAGGTGAATGGGGGCTGAGTGAGTAATAAAAATCGAGGTAATGCTCAGGTGTGAATAGGACTGAGTAATGAAAACAGAGTTAATGCTCAGGGGGGAATGTGAGTTGAGTAATGAAAATGGAGGTAATGCTCAGGGGTGAATGAGGGCTGAGTAATGAAAATGGAGGTAATGCTCAGCGGTGAATGGGGGCTGAGTGATTGTGGGGGGGGGGGGGGGAATGTGAGTTGAGTAATGAAAATGGAGGTAATGCTCAGGGGGGGAATGTGAGTTGAGTAATGAAAATGGAGGTAATGCTCGGGGTGAATGGGGGTTGAGTAATGTAAATGGAGGTGATGCTCAGGGGTGAATGAGAGCTGAGTAATGTAAATGGAGGTACTGCTCAGGGGTGAATGGGAGTTCGAGTAATGAAAATGGTGGTGATGCTTAGGGGCGAATAGGGGTTGAATAATGAAAATGGAGGTGATGCTCCGGGGGAATGACGGCTGAGTAATGAAAATGGAGGTAATGCTCAGGGGTGAATGGGGGTCGAGTAATGAAAATGGAGGTGCTGCTCAGGGGTGAATGAGGGCTGAGTAATGAAAATGGAGATAATGCTCAGGGGTGAATGAGGGCTGAGTAATGAAAATGGAGGTAATGCTCAGGGGTGAATAGGGGTGGAGTAATGAAATGGAGGTAATGCTCAGGGGGTGAATGGGGGTCGAGTAATGAACATGGAGGTAATGCTCAGAGGTGAATGGGGGCTGAGTAATGAAAATGGAGGTAACGTTTAGGGGTGAATAGGGGTTGAGTGAGTAATAAAAATGGAGGTAATCCTCAGGGGTGAATGGGGGTTGAGTGAGTAATGAAAATGGAGGCAATGCTCAGGGGTGAAAAGGGGCTGAGTAATGAAACTGAAGGTAATGCTCAGAGGTGAATGAGGGCTGAGTAATGAAAATGGAGGTAATGCTCAGGGGTGAATGGGGGTTGAGTGAGTAATGAAAATGGAGGTAATCCTCAGGGGTGAATGAGGGCTGAGTAATGAAAATGGAGGCAATGCTCAGGTGTGAATGAGGGCTGAGTAATGAAAATGGAGGTAATGCTCAGGGGTGAAAAGGGGCTGAGTGAGTAATGAAAATGGAGGTAATCCTCAGGGGTGAATGAGGGCTGAGTAATGAAAATGGAGGCAATGCTCAGGTGTGAATGAGGGCTGAGTAATGAAAATGGAGGTAATGCTAAGGGGTGAAAAGGGGCTGAGTAATGAAACTGGAGGTAATGCTCAAAGGTGAATGAGGGCTGAGTAATGAAAACGGAGGTAATGCTCAGGGGTGAATGGGGGTTGAGTGAGTAATGAAAATGGAGGTAATGCTCAGGTGTGAAAACGGGCTGAGTAATGAAAAACGAGGTTAATGCTCAGCGGTGAATGAGGGTTGAGTAAAGAAAATGGAGGAAATGCTCAGGGGTGAATAGGGGCTGAGTAATGAAAACAGAGGTACTGCTCAGGGGTAAATGAGGGCTGAGTAATGAAAACAGAGGTATTCCTCAGGGGTGAATTGTCTACCTATATAGTAGGTTCCATTCCCCCCCATCCCTACTCCCCATGCAGTGTAGCATTGCAGACATGGGTGCACCGATTGAAGCATGTTGCAGCATACATACTTGGATGGATGTGACATACATGCTGGACTCTGATTGAAGATGATGGGGGGAAATGCTGTGTTCTCTCCTCCAGTCTCATGTGTCATCCACCTTGCACACTCTGCTTCGCTCCTCCCTTTCCACTCCGGCTCTCTCCTCCCTCCCATTCATCTGTGTGCTGGAGCTGTCAGTGGCGCGATGGTGCTGAACAGACGCGGCCGGTAAGACATGCCTGTGCTCCGGCTCTCCGTGCGCTGAGCAGCCTATGGACCTGGCTTCGGAGAAATGAACGACACCAGCAGTAATGTGCTCAGCACGGGGGAGACCAGAAGAGTTCATCACAGGTACCAGCTGCCTCATGAGGCTGATCCAAGCTTCAGGAGGCCTCTATGCCATCCCAGGGAGAGTGGACTTGCTGGGGGAAGGAGACGCCTAACCCCACGGACAACAGAAAGCCCCCCAATAATGAGGAGGCTTCCTCCGCAGGAGGGAGGAATCAAGCCCAGGCACCCGAGCAGCCCACAATATGTCCAGTATCCTGCTGACCCTCATCGGTACCCTTCCATTTATTCCCAGTACCCTCCCAGGTACTATAACTCCAGCAGCCCACCTGCGGATCACCACAGTCATATCCAGCACCATCCCAATTATCAAAGTCATCATCCTCAAACTCCCACTCACCACCCTCACTCCAGTCACAATCACCAACACATGGCTCCACATAGCCATAGGCAGTCTCCTAGTCCCAAGCAGCAGTCCCCCAGTCCCAGGCACCATTCTCACAGCCCCAGGCAGCAACCTTCTAGTCCCAGGGACTACCCACCCAGTCCCAGGGAGCACACACCTAGTCCCAGGCTTAGCTCTCCTAACCCCAAGGAACAGGCAGAGGCTAGAAATGAGCAGAGGTCCAAGAAGAAGGAGCCTGAGAAGGTATCAGAAGGAGCTTCCACTCAACCAACTAAAGTCAGTGACCTTCCACCAGCCAAGAGCAGTGACAGTGACCCTGATCCGGACACGGAGCCCCTGTTTGTGGAGCTGCACCCAATCCTGAGCTCTGTGTTTGGTCAGGTGAGAGTTCTGGACACATAAACTTTTTGTCCTTGCCTTGGCACCCCCAAAACTTCAATGCCCTCCTTTTCCCTCACCATCTTGTATGTATGCTGACCATTAACAGTCACTCTCTAACCACTCTCTGCTTCTAGTATGCAATGTGTATTTTATGATCATGCAGATTCATAGCCTATGTTCCTTAGTAGATTTGTAGCTGTGCAGTCCTTGTGTAGGTGCAAAAGACACATATTAATACATTTCTGCCCAGGTTGCGTTTATACTAAAATTGATGTCACTCTTGAGGTCTTGAAATCTTGATGACCTTTTGGTGTTATTTCACTTCATGAGGGTCAATCAATGTCACTGAAAATGATGCAGAGCCTTTAAGAAGACTCACTGAATTACCTTGCATTGTCTTGTCAAGGGCATATCTGACATAAGGTGACAGACTGTCCAAAAACTTTATATTTTTCAATCCGTTACTATAGCAACATGCTTTTATGAATACTGATAATATAAGGTATGGACTTTTAATGTTATTCTATTAATGTGATGAAACACCTAGATTCTCCTCTTGATTGTGCAAACTGACAATGACTTTGCTGTAAGAATGCAGAGTTATTCCTTGTAGGGTGATGGCATTAATAAGAAGTAGCCATGACTTCCAATGACTGAGATGTCACCACCATACTTAGCTGATATACTGCACTGATTTCTGAAGCAGCTTGTCATGGGATATAACAGTTCTTAACCTTGACAGACAAGCAACACGACTTGGGTTGATTCTTAATGTTGATTTCATTCACACAGCAAAGAAACAGATCAAAATAATTTATCTAAGTGCCAAGTGACAATTTTTATTACATCTAAAATAACATTGTGAATATGATTGGTGAATATTTACATTAACATTACAATTGCTCTAAAAAGGATAATATCATTTGCGTTATCAAATTCTTCTTCTTCTTCTATTATTATTGCTCTAAATTAACCCTAGGGCCATTGTGGCTGTGACTACAGCATGGTGCAGTCAAGGGAAATTTAATTGATTTTTCCACATTACCCAGCGAAAAGAGCAATCGAAAGTTTATTCCATCTCTTTCAATACATACTTGTTAATTGGAGCATTGCAAACATTTTCTTTTTATTAATGTAGGTACACATGTATAGAATTTTCTCCGTAACTTATGTATGTAAGTTATTCACTCACAGAGCAGGAACATATTTCACAGCCTTCTATAGAGTACGGTAGTTAGAACAATTTAGGGTATTTGACCTCAAAGGAGCCTATAGTCTAATATTTCTATTTCTATGATAGACAAAGATATACACAAATACAATTATGCCAAGGTCACATTAGGCTGAAGACATTATACATTTCAGGTATGTTTTGGGGTTCTGGAAGGAAACTTGTTCAATTGAAAGAAGCCCTTGCAAAAAGAAGGATCGTGTAATTTGTAAAGACTGAGTGACCATGGTTTTGCGTTTAGGCCTGGTTCACACCTGAACGTTTGTAGCGCGTTCAACGCTCGACAAATGCTCTACAAAACGCTCAAACATCTAAATCCCATTGTATTCAATGGGTCTGGTTCACACCTTGCCGTATTTCCACCTGTCCGAACGCGATACAAAACGGCCTACGCCCAAAGAAGTACATGTACTTCTTTGGGGCGTTTTGGTCTCGCGTTTCCATTGGGATACAGCCAAGTAGCTCTTGGAAACGGGCGTTTGTTGCGCGTTTTTTTTACAGCAAATCGTGGTAAAAACGCGTGACGCGAAACGCGCGACAAACGCGCATATTCAATACGCCTAGGTGTGAACCCAGCCTTAGGAAAAGCAAATACATTAGAGAAGATTCCATAAGAAGATTCTGACAGTTTTCACTTGTGTATTTATCCATATGCACAATGTTTCAGTTATTCCGTTTTACACTTACGTATAGTACATGTCTTGGCTATTGATATAGTACTTAGTATTCATGGATAATGCTCAGGGTTACCTACATTTACAGCAGTAACGCTCTCTCTTTCTAATACAGGTATTTGACTCTCATTATAGTAATGAGAAATTCTAGGAAGCAGTAGTAACCAATCAACTTCTCTGTTTCATTTTCAAAGCTTAACTGAACAAATTGAAGAGAGAAACTGACTGGTTTCCATGGGCAGCTACTCCAGATACCGTCTGCTCCAGTTTTGTTAAATTCCCCCTATATATTTTGTATAAGCACCAAGCATAAGTACCTGAATTCGACTTGATCTCTACCTCCTATAAAACTCTTATCCAGGCAGTGCTCTTTGCTGCTTTGCACTGTGTTAACACATTCATACAGAAGGGAAGAGCACAGGGATGCTTAATGAGCTACTGCTCCTTCGTTGTCCAAACTTCAAGCTGAGGTGGATCCTGGACAAAATTGTTTAACTATTAGTCTGTAAAGATGTCCAGGACCTGGCTCTGCTGTCTGTAAATTGTGTCTGGATCATGAAACTGGCTGAAAGAAATGGCAAAGCATTTGGAAGGTAAAACCTTTACAAATGATATTATAATTGTGTATTTAGCTGTTTGCCTGTAATTCAGCTCTGGCCTACAAAAAGGCAATACGGTATTTTCTTTTCTTTCCTAACAACAGAACTGTTAAAATCTCTAGTTGTAATTTAGCATTCATTTTGGTCTTAGTATCTGTCTCTGAGAGGGTTCATGACATGCATATTAGCTGATCTGCTAACAGGGACAAGGAATTATCTGGAGTCTGTGATTGCCCTGTCACAAGTTTGTCACAAGGTTATGGTGTTAAAAAACAGGATGAGACACGTCCAGCAGCAGTGGTACTCATCTTTCATTTGGAATTTGTAGTGTGCCTTGTTTTTTTTTTATACGGCTTTGTGGAAAGCTCTATAGAGTCAGATATCTGGACAGCCCATCTGATTGTGGACAATTCAGCATGGCTGCCCCTAGATTGTACTTGATATAACATGGTAACTTTAATCCAGATACTAACAGAATCTGTGAAAACAGGTAATGTATCTAGTTACTGGCCTGCTGTTTGTTCAATTGCTCTTTTATTGGTGACAGATTCCCTTCAGGATCAATGCAAGGCAGTAGGAGCCATGCTGTTTCTCTGCATGCCCCTACTGGTGCATCATTATGACAGACGGGAGCTTAGAGCCTAAGATACAGGAGTAAGCAGTAGCTGGAGCTGGGAGGAGGGGGCAGGATAGAAGCTGTGAGAGCGGAAGATGATCTATTCTCTGTGTTTTGTTGCTCTTTCTACTGCTCTGATCAAGTCTGTCTAGGGGCATAACTACAGACCTGTAGTAGCCATGGTATTGACATTACAATATTTTATATTATGACATAATTGCAAGTACTCCTGCACGCAATTCCTTCATAATGCGAATACAAAACTTCTTTCAACTGTGGGGGTTTTGTAGACCTACAAACAGCTGTCAGTTTTTATCTGAGGAAGACAGGGTTAATTTCAGTGCTGGCCAGGATGACCAGAAGCTCTGAGGGCAATAAATCTACCCTGATAAGACAGCTAAACAAATCCTCCTTTCTGCACAGCCTGCATAGGTGATCTGTGACTAGCAACAAGTCTTTTGCTGTACGTCTGATGTCAGCCCTTCTTGACTGGAAATGTCACGGGGTAAAGGGTCGATGTCAACAGCAACCTCTACAATCATTAATAATAATGTACTAGATTTGTGTTATCTTCACATGCATAGTTGTTTGTGTTTAAAATGTCTTAACAGACCCTCTAATGCAGGGTTCCAAAGTGCCGGCCCACAGGCCAATTGCGGCCCGTGAGCCGGTAATATGTGGCCTGCAGCCAGCTGACAAGCCAGGCACTCGGTAACGGACCGTGTACCTTACTTGCGGGAGAAGCTACACGGTCTGCATCTATGTCGGATGCAGACAGCATAGCTGCTTCTCTGTGCCGACACTCGGATCCTTTTGGCCAGCGCTCTAAAATCCTTCAGTGAATGCCGGCCGAAAGAATGGATTACTAATTAACCACTGGATCACCAGTGATTGTGCCTTCTGCATGCAACAAGGTTAGCAGGAGAGGGGGCTCTTTGTTTTATTTTATATATGGGTGTACAGGGGGGGCAGCATTGTATTATTTTTTATGTGCAGGGGGGTGTATTATTTTATATGTGCAGGGATATTATTTTGGGGGGGGATTGGGGTGGGGGGAAGTGTATTAGGCTCCATTCATATCTGTAACTTTAGGTGCGATTAGGGATTCTTGCGTGAGGCAGTTAAAAGCGGCAGCTGTCACTCATTCAAGTTAATGATCAGGTATGTAAACACCTGCTCACCGCATGTAATGATATGTAATACGATTACATGCAGTTAGGAATCAATCACTATCCCTGGACGCATTGATTGTGCATCTAAGGAGAGTGTTTTCTAACCACATGTAATCATATCCCATACCATTACATGTGGTGTGCAGGTGATTCCTGCTGCAGGAAAACGTAAGTTCCTTACTCAGGAGTCCCTGATTGCATGGGGCCTTATTGTGAGTATATTAGTGTCTGTAGTACCATACCGGATATAGTTACATTTTATTTGAAGTATCAAATTTGGAAAGCGGCCCCCATGGGAGAAGAAAATTTGTTGAGTGACCCCCAAGTGAATTGAGTTTGAGACCCCTGCTCTAAGGGGACCCCCTTCTACCTCCAGGCCCTGGCTGCTATGGCTATTTTTACGCCACTGTAGGAGCCTTGTCAGCAACATCATCTGAGTATGCCGGGACTCATAGATGAGGAATGGTTATTAGGCACATTATCATTTTTTTTAGGTTTTCAGTATGTTTCAAAAAACAACTTTACATCATGTCCTAGATTCAATGAATCACCTAGGCTTAGAGCCACTTCTTACCTTGTAAATGTCATCACCTAAATACCAATAAGACTGATGAGTTTTATTAAGTTGAATATTGAGTTTTAATTTTTCAGTCATTTTGCAGACCACCAAGCATAACGGAATCTGCAAAAACTGTTGCCCAGCTGCCT